ATCGCATGATATGCTGTTCCTCGCCATCTCTAGCTTTGTCTGTGCTCGCTTGGACTTGTTGCCCTCTTCTCGCGTCTTGCCCGCTTGCCCTCTTCTCGTCTTGCCCTCTTCTCGCGCCTTGCCCGCTTGCCCTCCTCTCGTCCCTTGCCTTCAACGTGAGTATTGATCATCATCATCATCATCATCATCATCATGATCGTCATCATCATCATCATCAAATTAGTCATGATCATCAACACCATCACCATCCTCATCCTCATCCTCATACGCCTCCTCAACCTCATCCTCGTCGTCGTCATCCTCATGATCATCATCATCGTCATCATCATCATCGTCATCATCATCATCAGCGTCATTGTCATCTTCATCAGCATCATCATCATCATCGTCAGCATCATCATTGCTATTGTCATTGTCAGTGTAAGTGTCATTATCACCATCAGCCAACAGGGTGCTGATCCTCCCTTCTATCATCAGCGGTGGCCGCCGGGGTTCCAATCCGTCAGTAAGCCCGTGGAACAAAAAAGTAATTTCCCTTGAGTGGGAAGTTGATGAACCGTCCTTTCTTGGGCGACGTGCCAGAAGGAAAAAAACAAACAGGCACCTGATGAAACAAACAACCGCAATCGGTGGATGGTTTGAGACATCTGGCAGGTACCATGGCTGGCGTCACTTTCGCCGTATGGCCCAGAACCAGCAACCGGGAACCCGGAAACCAGGAACCGAGAACCTGGGAACCCAGTTGGCTACCGCAATCGACCCGGGACATTGGCCAAATTTGCCAATATCCGCTAGGACCCCAATCAGTGCAAGCCATTATGGGGGACTGCGGTAAAACACAACTCATAGTAAGGCCGCACGGATGTCCTTCGGGTAGCTTTTTGTCCTTGCCTCTGCGGCCCGTCTTCCGCAGTTTTCACTGGAGAGCCTTCCAGGGTGTTGGCAGTCCGCCGCCCGAGAAGTGACAATTTCGACGTCCTTACCGCCCGTCCTTGTTATAGGTGTTCGACTGTAGCCCCTCGCGCGCGCGAGGACCAAACACAAGACGTTTGGTAATTCTAGACGCTTCGCGGAACCCCGCCAGCCTTGTCGACTCTTGCCTTCGACCCCTTGGACGGCGCGCAGCCATCTGCGTCGCTCGCGAGCAAAAAAGTACCCCCACCAGCCCATCCAGAAACGATGCCCTTTGCCTTGATCAGGGAAGTGGGCAGCACACAGAGGAAGGGTCCCCCAGTGGAGGCCTCTTGGAGCGTCTTGGGGGCCTCTTGGCGGTCCCGGGCGCCTCTTGGAGCGTCTTGGGTGTTTCGGAGAGCTTCTTAGGGGCATCTTGAGCTTTTCTTGGGAGCCTCATGGAGGCCTCTTGGGCGCCTGTTGTGGCCTCCTGGGCGCCTCTTGGGGCCCTCTTGAAGCGCTCATGGGCCTCGTGGGAGCGTTATCGGGACCCTCTTGGGCCTTCTTGGAGCCATCTTGAGGCTTCGGATGACCATCGGAAGCGAAATGGCGAGAAAACTAAACACATTGATTGTCCGAAGGACTTGGGCCTCTTTGAGGCCTCCTGGGGGAGCTATTTGGCCACTTAGAGCCGTCTTGGAGCGTTCTTGGGGCCTCTTTTGGGCATCGTAGGAGCCATCTTGGAGGGATTCTTGGGCTCGCCCACGCGCTCTTGGAGTCATCTTAATCAGTGCCCCCCACCAGGAGGCCAACATGTGGCTTACAGTTTTTACCTAACAGCTCTTGCTGATAGGTTTCTAGTGGTCTCAAAAGAAAGCATCATGACTCCTCAGGGGGGTCGGGGCGGGACCCGGACAGGCTGCCGCCGAGGCTGCCGCCGAAGCCGAAATCGCTTGGGACATCCTTGCAAAATCGCTCTTGGTGCTCCCAGAACTCCATTCCCGGCGTACATTTTGGATGCCCGGAGCCAACTGTAGGCCACTTCGTGCTCTTCGACTTCCCAGAACTCCATTCCCGGCGTACATTTTGGATGCCCGGAGCCAACTGTAGGCCACTTCGTGCTCTTCGATTTCCCAGAACTCCATTCCCGGGCCACATTCTGGATAGCCGGAGCCAATGTAGGCCACTTCGTGCTCTGCAAGTTCCCAGAACTACATTCCTGGGCATGATTTTGAATGCCTGGAGCCAACTGTAGGCCACTTCGTGTTCTTCGAGTTCCCAGAACTCAACTCCTGGGCCACATTTTGAATGCTGAGGCAGGCTGATGCTGCGGCCGAGGCAGGCTGACGCTGAGGCAGGCTGAGGCTGAGGCTGAGGCTGAAGGCAGGCTGAGGCTGAGGCTGAAGCAGGCTGATGCTGAGGCAGGCTGAGGCTGAGGCTGAGGCTGATGCAGGCTGAGGCTGAGGCAGGCTGAGGCTGAGGCCGAGGCTGAAGGCAGACTGAGGTTGAGGCTGAAGCAGGCTGAGGCTGAGGCTGAGGCAGGCTGAGGCTGAGGCAGGCTGAGGCTGAGGCTGAGGCAGGCTGAGGCTGAGGCTGTGACTGCGACTGCCGTTGCCGCTGCGACTGTCATCGCGAATGCGACTACGACTGCGAGAACAGCAGAATTCGACAACTGGATTTTCATCTGAATCTTAAGGGGAATGCTTTCAGATATGCTTCTACACATCGCTGTTAGGTTGCTTTGCCGGGATAATTTACCTAACAGCTTTTGCTGATAGGTTTCTAGTGGTCTCAAAAGAGAGCAGCAGATGACTCCACAGGGGGGTCGGGGCGGGACCCGGACAGGCTGCCGCCGCGGCTGCCGCCGAAGCCGAAATCGCTTGGGACATCCTCGCAAAATCGCTCTTGGTGCTCCCAGAACTCCATTCCCGGGCCACATTTTGGATGCCCGGAGCCAACTGTAGGCCACTTCGTGCTCTTCGACTTCCCAGAACTCCATTCCCGGGCCACATTTTGGATGCCCGGAGCCAACTGTAGGCCACTTCGTGCTCTTCGATTTCCCAGAACTCCATTCCCGGGCCACATTTTGGATGCCCGGAGCCAACTGTAGGCCACTTCGTGCTCTTCAAGTTCCCAGAACTCCATTCCTGGGCATGATTTTGAATGCCCGGAGCCAACTGTAGGCCACTTCGTGTTCTTCTAGTTCCCAGAACTCCATTCCTGGGCCACATTTTGAATGCTGAGGCAGGCTGATGCTGCGGCCGAGGCAGGCTGAGGCTGAGGCAGGCTGAGGCTGAGGCCGAGGCTGAAGGCAGACTGAGGCTGAGGCTGAAGCAGACTGAGGCTGAGGCTGAGGCAGGCTGAGGCTGAGGCTGAAGCAGGCTGATGCTGAGGCAGGCTGAGGCTGAGGCTGAGGCTGATGCAGGCTGAGGCTGAGGCAGGCTGAGGCTGAGGCCGAGGCTGAAGGCAGACTGAGGCTGAGGCTGAAGCAGGCTGAGGCTGAGGCTGAGGCAGGCTGAGGCTGAGGCAGGCTGAGGCTGAGGCTGAGGCAGGCTGAGGCTGAGGCTGTGACTGCGACTGCCGTTGCCGCTGCGACTGTCATCGCGAATGCGACTACGACTGCGAGAACAGCAGAATTCTACAACTGGATTTTCATCTGAATCTTAAGGGGAATGCTTTCAGATATGCTTCTACACATCGCTGTTAGGTTGCTTTGCCGGGATAATTGTATAGTCGATGGCTTTGGCATTCTCGCTGAGGCTTCTTGGAGCGTCTTGGGTGTTTCTGGGAGGCCTCTTGGGGCCTCTTGGGGGTCTCTTGGGCGCCTCTTGGGGGCATCCTGGGGGCCTCTTGGGGCCTTCTGGCCACCTCTTGGGGCACCCTTGGGGCACACTTGGGAGCCTTGGGAGCGTTCGTGGGGCCGTCTCGGAGGAGATCGATCAAGGTTCCTTACTTGGCGCCGCCCCCCCGAGAGGCCAAAATGGCGCCAAAACCATAGTAAAACCAATGATTTGGGATTGCTCGCCGAGGCCGTTTTGGACGCCCTGACCGCTCGCGGGGCGCCCCGCCCAGGTCCAGGGGAGGGGGTAGGGGGAGGGGTCAAGACCTCCTCCCCGCCCCCAAACCGTCCCGCACACTCCCACCCGCCCCCCCAACACATACGTAGCACCCGAGTGTGGCCCAAGCCTCAGCATATTCAGCAGTCGTTTTTGGATGGGCAGCTACTGGGGGCCAATCCGCCGCCGCCTCCGCCGCCGCCGCCGCCGCCGCCGCCGCCCCCCGCTGCCAAACCGCCGCCGCCGCTGCAGCCGCTGCCGCCACCACTACCGCCGCCGCCGCCGCCGCCACCGCCGCCTCAGCCGCCGCCGCCGCCGCCGCCCCCGCCGCCCCCGCCGCCGCCGCCGCCGCAGCCGCCGCAGCCGCCGCCACCGCCGCCGCAGCCGCCGCAGCCGCCGCCGCCGCCAAGTGTACTCTGTATTGTTTTTTGACAGGGATGGCGGGGGGGGGGCCGCATCGGGTTGGCTGCGCATGTTCCGAATTTGGAGGCAGAGTGTGCTTTGTATGTTTTTTACCAGGGATGGTGGGGGGGTATCGTCATGGACCTTGGTTGGCCCCCAGTCGCCTGGGGGAGGGGGTGTTTACTAATAGGGAACAGTGATTAACCCCCATCCCCGAAGAGGAAGAAAGGGGGGTGGAAGAGGAACACTCTAAACCACCTACGCCCAGAGGGTTGGCGGGATTACGACGGGGAGCGAGGAGGAAGAAAAGTAGGAGGAGAGCGGAAGACGAGGAGGAGGGGGGTAGGAGGGAGGGAGGCACGGAGCAGACAGTGCTCGATTCAAAACGAGAACCCAACATAGGATTTGGACGCCCGAAATGGGCACGGGGAAAAAAGGGTACAATGCCCAATAACAACTGTTGTCCCAAACCAACAGCGGCCGCTGTTGGGCACGCGGCCCTCTGTCTCAAATGGACACAGTCCGCGGCGGCGCGGACAGCGCTCAAAATGAACAGGAACTGCTGTTGGGCATTGCGCCCATTGTTTCCGTACCCGTTTCGTTCATGCCGATTGGGGGGTTGGGACATAGCCCCTCGCGCGCGCGCGCGAGGACTCCGGCCCCCTCCGCGAGGTGCCGGCGCCGCCCCCGGGCGAGGCGGCACAGGCGCGGCGCTTCGCCGCCGGCGCGGGGTCTGTTTCCGGCTTGTGGGCCCCGACTTCGGACCCCTCGAGTTAAGGCGGGCCTTCAAGCAGTGGCGAAGCGTCCTAGCTCGCCGGTAGGCCTACCAAACAATGTTCTAGGAACCTCTCGTGGTTTCCACGAAATGTTCTTGGAACGTGTCTTGTTTCAACACATCGGGTCTATGTTCTAAGAATATGGTTTTCGTTCTTAGATCGTTTTTGGGCTCATTTCGTGGTGGGCCTATAGAAGTGCCAGGACGGTCGGTCCCTGCTCAAGGCATGTCCCCATACAGGAGGACTAGTTAAAAAATTCGGAAAAAGTAGTCACGAGACGATTTTTCCATGATTTGTTGTTTATGTTTTTTTTTGAGCCTACGTTCCATTTGTCTTCCAAGATCCGTCTGTGGGAGGACATGCCCGACTTAACCTTCGAGGCCTCGAGCCTCCGTTCTCGACCCTCCAACCCCAAGACATGCAGGAGGGTAAACAAAAGCACGCAGACACAATGAATCGTCGACTCCCAGGAAGATCTGGAGAATGTGGTTGGAGAAGACGAAAGCCCAGAGAGTATGGGAAAAGATGGGACATCCTGGGATTTTGGTCTATTTATTTGAGTGTCCCTGGGCCCCTTGAGACATGCTTGCGTCGAGACGGAATATGGACGGGAGGTTTTGGGCCATTGTTGGCCTCTGGGGCCCTCGCCCGGCTCCAGGACCGCCCTCAAGAACGATTCGGGATGAAAGACCGGCCCCTTGGAAGCGGTCGGGACTTCTGGGGAGCCCGTGCTGAAGAGCAGAGAGCGTCGCGTCCGGGTCCGGGAGATCCGAGGCTCCGAGGAAGCCGGAGCGGCAGGTTGCTGTGTGCAGATCTGTTCGGCTTCCAGGGGCCCTCCACGAGCGCCGGGGCCGTCAGCAGAGCGGCTCGGGAGGAGATGCTGGCCCCGGAGAAGTTGCCCAGACCTCCGTCGGCGCACGCACAGAGAGGATTGGAGCGCTGGATGTCTGGGTCGAGTCTCGATCCTCGATCGTCGGCCGCGTAGGTTTAAGTCGGGCGTGCCCCTCCTCAGGAGGACAATTAAAACATAGTCTGGGGACGATTTTTCGATTATGTTTTGATTTGTTGTGACTTCTGCTTGCGTCTTCTCAATTGTTCGTCCAGGATCCGCCTGCAGGGGGACACGCCCGACCTAAGCGTAGGCGTAACCTTTCGCCTGAGTGACCTCTGATGCGGGCCCCCGCAGGGATCCCCCCCGCCTCTGGCTGGCCCTCTTGGGTGGGGCCGCCCCGCGGCCCCCAGGGGTCCCTCTTGCGTGAGCGGCGCAGCGAGAGGGGCTCGACTGCTCCCCGCTGTTCGCGCGCGCGCGGGCTCCCCGCGTGAGCGGTCCATTACGAGTCATGTTTGTGGTAATGTGCCCTTCTCCTCGCCCTATCCCCCGCTTCCTATCCTTTCTCTCTATCTTCTGCCCGCTTCTGCCCGCAACCGCTATCTCTGAAACAAGGCCCTTGGCCTTAGAGCTACGCCAGTTGTTCGAGCCGCGCTCACAGCAAAACTATCCCCGGCGCTGCGCGCCGATCCATATCACAGTGGTAGCTCGGAGCGGTGTTCGCTGCCCCGGCCTTTCGACCGTACATATCAACGACGGCGTCTGCGACATGTCCAACGAAATCCAAACCCAGCGGTTTCCTCGCGTTATTTCTCAGCGCCTGCGCCAGCGTCTGCGACGCCAGCACCAACGCCTACAACGCGTACCCTGCCAAGTCGTACGCCAGCGTCAGCGACGCCAGCGCCTACGCCTTCAGCTACTGCATTTCCAACAGCAGCGTCAGCGACGCCGCAAGAGACTACATATTTTTCCCGACCTATATCCCCGACGGCAGCTACTTCCTCAGTGCTCTCTGTCAGGACCGCGTCTTCAACGACGCCCACTACGATAAACCCTACATCAGCAGCGTCATCGACGCCGCATACTACATCTCCCACGCCAGCGTCAGCGACGCCAGCTACTACATCTCCTACGCCAGCGTCAGCGACGCCAGCTACTACATCTCCTACGCCAGCGTCAGCGACGCAAGCTACGACACATCCTACACCAGCGTCAGCGACGCCAGCACCTCCTTTCTCATCAAGATGACGGGCAATTCCAGTTTCGGACAGTCAGTGATATCAACGTGAAATGGAGATCCTCCGAAGTGGAGGGATTACACGCGAGAGGTGAAGTTGTGGAAGCTCAGCGAGAACCTTTCAGTAACGCAAAATTCAGCATCGAAGCTCGTGCCCAAGCTCACTTGGACGGCTAGGAGCGCAACATTAAATATAACGGAGGCGCGGCTGCATCCTGCTGCTGGTCCCAACGTCGAGGAGGGGCAGGTGGAGGAGAGAGCCGGACGAAAGCGAGGAGGATGAGGAGGATGACGACGACGACGGCGAAAGAGCAGGACGACGACGACGACGACGACGACGACGACGACGACGACGACGACGACGACGACACGACGTCGACGAGGCGAAGAAGCCCCACCCCTCAAGCGGCCGAGGCCGCCGCGCGCGGGGGCGCCGCCGTGGCCCCCGAGGAGGAGCCAGAGGAGGTGCCTCCGGAGGAGGACGGCCCCGCGGGCGGGCGGGCGGGCCCGCCCTGCGAGACACGGCCTGGGCGCCGCAGTTCTCACGCAGCACCACGATCGCCATGAAACTCGTCGCTCGCTTGCTGGCTCGCTCGCTCGCTCGCTCCCCCTCCACCACCTCCTCCTCCTCCTCCTCCTCCTCCTCCTCATGTTCCTTCTCCTCCTCCCGCGTGCGTTTTGCACCGTGTACTTCCGGGACCCATAACTCCTGCTCCTCCTCTTCCTCCTCCTCCTCCTCTTCCTCCTCCTCCTCCTCCTCCTCCTCCTCCTCCTCCTCTTACATCCTTTTCCTCCTCTTCCGTCTCTTCCTCCTCTTCCTCCTCTTCCTTTTCCTCCTCCTCCTCCTCCTCCACCTCCTTCTCCTCCTCCTCCTACCTCCTCCTAGCTCGTTCGCTCCTCCTGCTTTCCCTCCTCCTCCTCCTCCGTAGCCATGTTGTCTCAGGCCTGCCTGGGCGCGTGGCGGGCGGTGCGCGGCGTGTCTTTCCCTCTATAACCCTGTCATCCCGGCAGGCACCACGAGCGGTTCAGTCGCTTTCCCCCTTGTCCTCGCGGCTGGCAATGGCCGCGGCTGGCTGCACGGCTGCCCCTCTGGCAGCGGAGCAGCCGCGGCACGCGGCGGCGGAGCTGCCCGTCGGCGACTCGGCCTGGCCCGTGCGGCGCGCCAAGCAGGCGGCGGCGCGCGCTGCCTGCGACGGGCGGTTCCAGGCGGCCCTCACCCGAGTGGCCGACCTGGAGGCCCAGTGCGCGTGCCTCCAGGCGGACCTGGACCACGCGCGGGTCGCCAGTCAGGCTATGGTCGCGGCGGCCGCGCCTGCTGCTGCCCAGGAGGCCGACGGCGTCGTGGCCTCCCCCGAGGGCTCTGGCGTCATGGACGGCAAGCGGGACTCGCTGCTGCGCGCGGACGTTCCCGAGGTAGTCGCGAGGCTGGTCGCGCCCGTCACGGCGGCGGACCTCTTCAACGAGCCTGCGGCCACCCTGGACGTCGGGCGTCGGAGCGTGATCTGCCACCACCTGACGGCCTCGGCGGCGGAGGTGCGGAGGCTTTCCCAGCGCGCGCTGAATCGCCTGCAGCGCGCGTCGGCACAGCGCCTTCGGCGTGGACAAGGAGGTCGCGGTCCTGGTGTTCGCCATCGTGTTGCTCTTCCTGTCCCTCGCCCTGCCGGTGCTGGTCTGCCGGTGCGGCAGCGCTCGGGCGCGCGTCGTGCTCCTCGGAGGAGTGCCGCGCCTGCCCCGCCGCGCCGCCTGCCTGCCTGCGGCGCGCGCCGCCCGCGAGGCGGCCCCGAGCGAATGGGCCATCGCTCAGGCCCGCCGCGGACGCAGTGCACTGCCAGGCGCCGTCTTCGCGCTGGCCGAGCGTGCGAGACGGGCCACCGCGCCGAAGCTCCCGCCCCTGGCATTGGGAGTGCGCCGGTGGAAGTGGAGCGCCGGGGCGCGCAGCGAGGCTGGCGACGCCTCGTCTGACGCCCCCCTCGGCGCCCAGGTGGGCGAGGAAGGCGGCGCCGCTGCCTCCCCCGACGCCCGCCCTCCCGACCCTGCCCCCGTGGTCCTTCTGGGCGTGCAGGCCGGGAGCCTGCCGCAGGAGCTGGAGTGCACCGTCTACCCGTCTTCCAGCCCGCCTGTGAGTGAGCTGCTGCACGAGGTGTCGCCCGACGCCCAGCCCAACGGCCAGTCGTTGCGCAAGCCCAGCGATGGCGTGCTTCTTGATGCCGTTCGCCCCCTGGCGGCGGCCGAGGCGGACATGCGGGTCTCCCTCGGCAGCGGCGGCGCCCCCGTCGCGGCGGAGTGCAGCGTCAACCTCTTCGACGCGTACGACGAGCGGAGGTGTTCGGGAGGACCACTGCGGCTGCTGGTCCGTCAGCGCCAGTTCTTCCAGACCGCGTGCCTCGACGAAAAGGCCGTCGACCTGGCGGAGTTCCACCGCGGGCTGCCCGAGCTCGAGCAGCTCCGACCGGCCCAAAGGTCCGCCCAGAGGTCCGCCGTCGTCTCCAAGGCCAGGCGGGCCAGGCAGACGCTGCGCGGGAGGTGAGGGGGCCCAGTCCGGCCCGCTGTGTCCCCCTCGGAATTCTGGCTCGTGCGGCGCTCCTCGGCGTGGGTCTCGGGGTGGTGCCGCCTGGGTCCCGCGCCCCGCGCGGTTTGGACGGCCGCTGGCGGCTGCCGTGGTTTTGCCCGTTTTTGTCCCCGCAGGGGTGGACTCCGCCTGGCCTTGGTCCTCCGGTGGAGGGCCGCGGTCGGGGCGGAAGCCTGTGTGGGCTTTGGTCTGGGTGTTCGTCGTCGCCACGGCTCCCGTGCCTCGCGCAGGTCGGCGGCGCGCACCTGGCGGCGTACAGGTCGCCCGCCCAGGCGCCGAGTTGACATCTGGGGCCCTGGTGGTTGTCAGCGTGCTGACGGCCGCCAGGGCCTCTCTGATGACGTCCCATCAATCCCTCTTCCCTCCTCCTCCTCCTCCTCCTCCTCCTCCTCCTCCTCCACATGCCTCCATTACTCCTCTTCCTCCTCTTCCTCGTATTTCCTCCTGGCTCGCTCCCTCCTCCTGCTCCTCCTCCTCCTTCTCCTCAACCTCCTCGTCCTCCTCGTCCTCCTCCTCCTCGTCCGCCTCCTCCTCCTTCTCCTCCTCCTCCTCCTCCTCCTCCTCCTCCTCCTCCTCCTCCTCCTCCTCCTCCTCCTCCTCCTCCTCCTCCTCCTCCTCCTCCTCCTCCTCCCCCCCCTGCTCCTCCTCCTGCCCCTCCTCTTCCTCATCCTCCTCCTCATCCTCATCCTCATCCTCTTCCTCTTCCTGCTTCTGCTATAGGCTATTCCTGCTCCTGCTCCTCCTCCTCCTGTTTCTCCTGCTCCTGCTCCTGCTCCTCCTCCTCCTCCGCCTCCTCCTCCCCATCTTGGTCCTCCTCCTTCTTTCCTCCCTCATCCTCCTCCTTTCCTGCCTCCTTCTTTTTTTCCTCACCATCCCTCCTCATCAGCAGCAGCAGCATCATCAGCATCATCATCATTATCCTGCTGCTCCTCCTCCTCCTCCTCCTCCTCCTCCTCCTCTCCTCCCTCATCCTCCTGTTTTTGTTTTCTGCCTCGCCTCCGTTCCTACTCCCTCCTCCGCCCCTTCCTCCTCCTCGTCCTCCTCCTCTCCTCCCCTCCTCCGCCCCCTCCTCCTCCTCTTCTCCTCCTCCTCTTCCCTCCCTCCCGCCCTCCCTCCCTCCCTCCCTCCTCTTCCCTCCTCCTGTGCGGCTCCACCTCGCAGTAGGCCCTCCGCCGGCCCATCGCCAACCCTCCTCGCTCGCTCGGTCGCTCGCTCGCTCCTGAGCTCGCTCACTGGTTTCGGGCCTTCGGGGCCTTCCCTGGCCCCAGGACTGGCCAGGGAACGTCTCGGGACGACACCCAGACCTTTGACGACACCCAGACTTTTGACGAATTACGGTCGTTACGCCCGCGTTTCGTCCTCGATTTCGGTTCCCGGTGGGCGCCCTCGGGCCTCAGAGCAACCAGAAAAGGATCCGGGGCGAAAAAACTACCCCTTGGGAAGCAGGCGGGACCTCCTGTGCAGACGGGTCCTTCTGGAGGTTTTTGGAGATCTGCGCGGGGTTATGGCGTTTGCGCTGGGCCCCTGGCGTTTCGGGCGCCACCCCTGGCGCGTCCCGCGCGCCAGGGAAGGAGGCCCAGCGCAGATCCAAGAGATCCGCGTGGACTTCCGCAGGTTTCTCTGCATGCTGTGCTGTTGTTTGTTCCTCTAAAGCCTCCCTCCTCCTCCTCGTGCTCTCCTCCTCCTCCTCCTCTTCCTCCTCCTCCTCCTCCTCCTCCTCCTCCGCGTCCTCCTCCCCCTCCTGCTCCTCCTCCTCCTCCTCGTTCTCCTCCTCCTCGTCCTCCTTCTCTTCCTCCTCCTCCTCCTCTTCCCCCTCCTCCTCCTGCTCCTCCTCCTCCTCATCCTCAGCCGCACCGGCCTGAACCACTCCTCCGCGGCTCCTCCCACTTCAGAGGCAAGAGATTCCGCGACAGCGGTACGATGCGTCGTTCGCGGGGTCTGCCGAGCCCTCAGAAATGGTGGCGGATGGATCTGCAAGCGCTGGCTCTTCGCCGTGGGCACCTGCAGCTGGTGATCATCCTTTCTGTTTGAGAAATGACTAGATCACCGGGCCAGCCCTTCCAACCGAGCGGACACACTCATATCAGGGCTTGCACATACAATCCTATGCATTTTGTCGGCCCGATGCGACGCAATGACATCTTTCAAGACATTCACAACGTGGGTGTTTTACTCCTGCCAGGTACACGTCGGAGAAACAGGGAAGACGACCACCAACCATCACGACATGTGAAGCACTGGGATATCTCTTTCGTTTGGACGCACGCGAGCAACAAGTCGTGCTAGGTTTCGATCACGTTACACGACCCTGTCTTCCCGCCGCGGTGTATACGTTGGCTATACGCCCACCGCCCGCTCTTGCTGGCCGCGCTGGTGCCGTCCGCTTGAGGACCGCGACGGTCGATGTCTTGCATGTGGTTCTCTACTTCCCATGCCAGCTGCAGGGACAGGGACAGGGGGCGGAGTATCGATGGGTCTTCCAGGCACCGATCGCATGGACACGTTCTCTGATCGAGTCGGTTGGCGCCCGCTATACCCCAGTGATTGGATGCGACCTGAACGATTGATTCGGGGCCGTACCCGAGATGACGATAGACGAGGCTGCGCTGCGCTGCGCTACTGGGAGAAAGAGGACGAGGATAGAGCCGCGGGGACGTCCGAGCCCTCAGTTGAGGCATTGGCGGGCAGGCTATGGCATCAGATGCTCAAGGATTGCGGGATGGTGGCGCGCAGCACCTTCTACAATGCGGGCCCCGCTGGCGGCCCCACCTACTGCGGCAACGTGGGCAAGAGCTCGAGGTTAGATTTCATTCACATACCGCAGGGGTTGATCGCATACGTCACTAAATGTCGGGTACTTGAGACTGCGGGTTGAAGGCTGCAGCCGACCCAGACCCTGACGACCGCGACCACGGACCAGCGCGCGTGGCTTTTGCATACTGCTTCCAGGACCCTGTGGGGAGCTCTCCTGGATGGGATTTCGATCGCATCATGCCGGCGGCGCAGAGAGGGGAGAGTCGCGCGGCCTTGTTAGAGGAGATCCAAGCGGAGCTGCCGATGATTGATGAGCCCGAATGGGTCAGGATGTGCACGAGACCCACTGCCGACGAGCTCTGGAATTCGACGGCGACATTCTTGGCCAACAAAGCACGCGAGGTCTTCTGCGAAGCTACGCCAGCCGAAACTTTGAGGCGGACTTGGAAAGACAACGCTCTCAGTTACTAGATCGGGGAAGGCTTCTGATGAACCCGCATACGGGCATATTCTCGGAGTCTTGGCAAGATGTCGAGCCGGGGCCAGCCGGGCTGACCTTCCGCATCCGCGCCGCGACAAAACAGATTGCGAAGGAGAAGACGGCGGAGTTGGCGCAGGAATTAAACGAGGCATGGACGGCCCACGATCATAACGCAGCACGACGTCTTATCCGCGGACTTGCCCGACGCGGACGTGGACCTCGGCAGCGGCGTAATCATTTCGCTGCAAAGTCCGAGCAGATCGACGCTGACCAGATCTGCGCCTTCCTTCGGCAGGCGGCGGCCGACGGTGGCGCGAGCGGAGCGCCCTGCGACCTGCAGGCGGAGCTCGCTCTGGGATTCGATCGGGCTCGCACCTGCGATTGCGACGACGAGGGCCGGAACTTCAGCTCGGACCAGGCGAGGTGCGACGCCATGCAGCTTGCGGACATCGAGCAGGCCCAGGAGGATCTGCAGGGCATGCTTATGGTGTTGCGCCCCTCACGTCCGCGCTAGTTTATGCCGCGTGAGCTGCGGCCGCTACTGCTGGGCGAGGGGGTCTGGGGCACCTTCCAGAGGGGGCGAGGGCGCCAGCGGGCGTCCCTCGACGGCGTCTGCCTTCCTCGAGCGGGCGGTGGACATCTCTGCGCGTTTCAGGCGCTCTCGCCAATCGCCTCTCCTCTCCGGCAGACCGTTTCGCATCGGCCTGGACAAGAGGAGCGGCGAGTTGGGGGCGACTGGACAGAGATGGATTCATTTGTTTTGCCCGATGGACAAAGCCTGACATTCCTACCAGTGGCGCCGAGGTCGGAGCGCGCGCGAGAGTTTACCATGTCACTGCCGCGGCTTCGCCCTCAGGCGCCGCCGAGAAGATGCGATCGCCGTTGAAGCGCGTGCATCATGGCGCTTGGAGCAGGAGGGCCCGCCCCGCGCCATTGTTGACGAGGATGCCCCGGGCGCGTTCGCCAGCGCTGACAGAAATGCGATATTCGATGCCCTCCCCTCGCTGCATCTTCCTGAAGATGTCGTCTTTCACTTCGTCGCGCAGTGCAGGGGACATTGCAGGTCGAACCGCCGACAGGTGCCCTTCGACCGTCCACGGGGGAAGTGATGGGCCATCCCAATTCAGCTCGAACCCCCTCATACTTCTACGAGTTAGGTCTTGCTCGATTTCGCGACCGCAGGCCAAGGGCGACTTCGGGGCTATGCGCCGGAGCGATCGAGATCGACGGTGATACGAGCGATGTCGGAACGACGGTTTTCGCCGACGACATCGCGAAGTTGACGATGCCAGGTCGGGGGCCAGAACCGCGCGCCAACGGCAGCGAGGCGGCGCCCCTGGCGGCGCTGGCGGAGTCTAGCAGTCGCAACCTCGGGGGGGCTCTCCTGGAGATAGGCTTTTCTTTGAACCCTGACAAGAGGGTCGCGCTCGCTCGGGTTTTCGCCAGGGGTTGCACCGTTCAGCGCAGGATTTACCACGGCGGAGTTTTCAAAATATTTGGCATTCGGGGACGCCGCGTCAGAATCTTGGGGGGCTGGTTTACTTCGACGGGGTCCAAGGCCGTGGAATTGGCCAAGCGTGTCCAGGCGGGAAAAAAAGGCCAGGGGCTCGCATCTCGCGCCCTTGTCAAGCCCGCGGCAAGAGGGCGGCGATCATCTTGTTTGCCCAGTCGGCCCTCCTCTCGGGCA